TGGTGACAGCCTTAGAAAGTGCATCCACTTTTAAATCAGTAACTTCCTTGAGATTAAATCGGTTCCGTGGCTATTTCAACCCATTAGTTCCTACTGAAATATGATGCAGCCTGATTAGCCCTACAGTTACACCTATTTCTAAGTAAACAGATAATTCTTTATTGCAATTTTTTTTTAAAAATAAGTGTGTTAATAATTATCATTATTGTTAGCGGGAGTTGCTCTAAATATTTGATTACATTAATTACAACTAATAAATTTTAGTTCATCTATAAAGTAATTAAGTTTATCTTATTGTAAAAAACAAATACATATAAAAAACTAATTGTGATATAATCTTTAGAATGATCAAACTACTTTTATTACGAGATAAAAAGAGCCGATTCATAGTGAAATTCCAAACTATTAAAGGAATCGTACATATCTGCCAGTATCGGTACGAATGAATTTTTTATGCGAGCAAATCACCCTTAAAGTGGAATTGTAATCCTAGGATTCAGAAATGTTGTCTTCTTAACATTTTCTTTACAATGTTCTTTAGAGATGTAATATCCCGCATTACATCCCTCCCAAAGGGTTTGAATCTATCCTCACCACATGCTCTGCATTCGTCACATTCCTCTCGTCTAATTTGGTCAATTTCTGCTCGTTGTTCTTATACGTAATATCAAACTAACCTTGGACTTGCTTTCCCTAAGGATACTTCTTGTTTTCCCTTCCTTTTGGGTTACCCCATAAGATTTTTGTGGTTCTATTGGGGTTTTGTCAATGCTTTTAAATTAACTCAAGTAGGCTCGACCGGTTTTGCAATTATCGTAGGGAAATCAGTCTGGTTAGTTAGGGCCTAGGTTAGGTTAGGTTGATAGGAGGATGTATAGTACATCAAATCCGAAGAAATACAACTAGGCCACTATCGGGCCTGTTATGCGCTCCTTTTCATGAAAAAAAATTTGTTCACTGAGTATATTATTTTTCAATGTTCAGAAACTCAGTTTCCTGGACGTAATTCCTAAGAATTTTCCAATCGGTGTTAGTCAGAAATGTTATTTCCGAAATAACATCACTTCCAAGATACTTAGATCTAACTTCGACGAATGCTTGACAGTGGCAAAGAAAGTGCTCCAGAGTTTCATTGTCATCTCCACATGCTCTACAAACGTCTGAATCCGCATAGCCAATTTTATATAAATGTGCTCGTAATCCTGTGTGCCCACTCAGAATACGTACCATCATACTAACTTCAGACTTGCTCATTGTGAGGAGATTTCTCGTCTTGTTCTCAATAGGATCGGATTTCTGCCTGGAAGCTTGTGTTATGATTAGGTAAACGGTGTTTTTTCTGTTTCTAGGCCTTCAATATAGAACCCCAGGCCCAATTTATACCCCAATTTAGAGCCATCTGTGTAACAACGGATTCCTACTGGTATTTGCTCTAGTTTTCCGCTTTACCAAGACATTCTATCTGGGATCAGCGTTTAAAAGTCCGATGATTGTATATAACCTTCCAATGTGTCCAGTATACTTTAATAGCTAGGACCTAAGTGCAATTGAAGTATGGCTGATTTCGTAGATGGGCAGTTCGCATCTTTAAAAACTGATTCCCCTCGCAGGGGAATCAGTCGTTAAAATATTGATGAGTTTGTTAATAACACATACCAAAATTTAAAAATCCGGCAAATAACTTCAATATTAAATATTTTTGAATTTATAGTTGTGTTCAAATTTAAATGAAGATATCACGAAATATAATAAAGATATAACAAAGCTTAAAACTTTATTTTAAAGTCCACAGATTGGACTTTCAAATGACATAACAGATTTTATAAAAAAATGTGTCTAAGAGCTGTTATAACGTTTCAAATATGGTCTATAGGACAATATATCTCGAAATGGAGGAAAACTTATAAGATCAGAATCGGATTTAGCGTAGCTTACATTCTTTAGAATGTGCAATTGAACAAAAGTCAAGCTCTCTTCCGAAAATCACTCAGATGCTCGTACTGGATATGTGATAATACAATTGGACATGAATATAATAAGTGAGTAAATCGATGTTATAAATTCATTAAGGATAGATCCAAAATAATCTATGTATGTCCATATACATATATATTATGATACAGGTTTTGATCTTTTTGTCTCCCAAAAAAGAGAGACTACTTTGTTGTAACATACCCCTAGCCACTATATTAGGAAGTGTATTATGCGTTTGGTCTAATGTTTATAACACCCAAAAGTACTGATCCTACACTCACCTTAAAGTGTATCAATCGGCTCTGTCCAATCTCTTTCTGATTCGACGCAATGACGCTATGTCCGTCCGTCTGTGTATCCATGTAAACCTTATAAGCACTTTATTTTCTTCTATTGAGTCAAGGATAAAGCCTATTGCCTTGCCTCTATATAACCCCACTTTCAGAAAATCACATTTTTGTCAACAAATGGTTAATAAGTTTCGGATTTAGGGTAAAAAACAATTTAAATGCTTTATTATAAAAAATAGCCCACATAGTCCCAATAGTCCAATAGTCCAAGATGTGCACCTTTGAGATACAAATCTTCTATATTTTATTAGACATGCTTTCGAGAAGTTTGCTACTTAAAATCAGCCAAATTGATCCATAAATTATGAAAATATGAACAAAATTCTGAAACAATCCATGAAAATGTTGTCAAATACAACCTTTTGTCATAATATAGCAAAACACAACGAAAACAACAAGGTTTTTTTAAACAACAGATTTGTCACAGTTCACGTTGAAAAACACAGTTATAACAATTGCAAGTCGAAAAATGGTTCAATAAACTCTAAAAGTTGATATTATAAATATTCAAAAAGTCATCAATTTCAAGATTGTAATAAGTCAAAATATTTACTTTTCATAAATTACTTAAAGTCGTTAAGTCGACTTTTTCATAAATTGCAAAATGTAGACTTTTTATTTCAAACTATAGAACTCTCGTCAAATTAAACAATTTTTATTTAATTTTTAACTATGAATTCATAAATCAGTAAAGTCTTTAAGTCGACTGTTTGATAAATTAAAAAAGTCGACTTTTTGTTTTAATCTATAGAAAAGTAATTCAATCGAACAGTTTCCCTTTGAAAACATTATTCACACACTGATTTCTGCAAGTGTTTAACATTAACAAAAGTAACGGCTTGTTGCTAGCTAAGACAACAACCCAAACAGGAAATGTTTAGCAACCGCAGCCAACTTCACAGCAAAAAGAAAAACAAAACAAACAATTTGTTTACAAAAATAAAATGCAAGTGCAGCAAATAGTACAAACACTCGCTTAGACAAAGTACCCAGCGGTAAAAATACACATTATGTACTCGCTTATCTAAGTGATATTTCGTGGCAGTCAGTGGTGATGCTTTCACTTATTCTTCCACTTAGATTTAACATAAAAGTGTCCTAGGCTGCCTCATCGATGTGCTCTCGCTTAGAATGTAAGCCACAGTTTCATTAAGACAAATTAAAATTTCACTTACATAATGTGTGGAGTTCTAAGCGAATTTAATGAGACGCCTATAAACGCTTGCAAATAAGAATGTAATGTATGTAGATAACAATCCTATTTGCATTTGTAAGTTAAAGTACCATGTCTTCCGATTTTGTTATAGAAAAAATATATATTTTTTTACGTTTATTTTAAAATTATGCAAGTTTATTTAAAAATTATCATCAAATAATAATAACATGTATTATAGTTAATTCAATAAAAATATAATTAAACAATTTTAACGAAGATAAATGAAATGAATCTTAATTTTCTTTTGAAACTTTCGGTCATCTTCCTTTACAGATCCTGTAAACAAACAAGAGGAAATTGTTAGTATTAAAACTAGAATGTGTGAAGTAAATTTACCCCAATTTTTAAATCCGTTTGTGCCATTTAGATCACCACAATTATTTTAAATTTTTACAATAAAATACATTTTTTAAGAAAACACAACTTCACTTACAAAAGATCAACTTTAAACTGAAACAAAAATATTATTTTTTTCATGTAGTACCTATACATACAAAAGAAAAATAAAACGGTACTTTAGTTCTGTTTTTTTAAAAGATATAAAAACAAAAAACAACATGAAAAAGGCAGCTAACTCTCTGCTTAAATCGTAATCAATGTTATAATTAAAGTGCATGATATGTTAGATTACGCATACATTGCACTCTAAGTACTTAGATTGCTCGCTTAGAACGTCATACTGATGTCATCGAATATTATCTAAGTACTTTGTTTCATTTACCGCTGGGTACTTACAGTTTAATAAGAGCAAATACTTTGTACATGTGTTTTTGTTTTTTAAAGAGATTACAACAGCAGAGTTGTATGAGTGAGTGTATGAATAACAGTAAAGAATTAAATAAGGGAAATTTCATTAAAGATTTTTGTTGGTTTTTTTTACTACTAGTAGCATGTTTAAGGGAGAGAGTATATTTTTCTTTGAATTTTAAACAAAAACAAGAGCATTCCTTTTGTTTTCATAGAACAATTAAACTGCAGAGAGAGAGAAGAAAAACTAGAAACGAAAAGGTCTACGTTTTATTAGCGCAATCAACCATCAGTTGAAAAACATAAATGCTCGTGAAGGGAACGTGTTTTCAAAAAGTGATTTTTTAATTTTTATTATAATTTTCAAAATTTTTATTTTATTTCTGTTTTTTTTCCTTCGTTTAACTTAAACTTTGTGATGTATGTGGAAGTTATTAAATAAACAGATAATTAAAAAATTTAAACTATTGGTGTCAAGTGTAACATTTGTAACAAATGTTTTTCTAACATTTAACAACAATGTGATAAATAATTATTGAGAACAAAAATAAACAATTTAAAGGAACAAAAATAACAACAAAATTTTATTAAAACAAAACTTGTGTTGAAAACAAAAGTATAAAAAAAAAGAATATTATGGGAATTTTTGATGAATAAGTTTTAAATAAAATTTCTAATATTTTGTGAATTTAAAACAAAATCAAGCATTAAATTAACAAAATTAATAACAACAAAATTATAATTTTAATTTAATTTGAAATAAAAGCTGAAACAAAAAACACACAAGACAACGTATAAAAAGAAAACAAAGAAAATTTTAAAGCAGAAAGAAAGACAAAAAAAAAAACACGGAATTTCTTACCACTATTTTGTGGCTGTCAGTGCTCTTGTTGTTGGTGCTATTGGCTGTGATTTGACAATATATTTGTTATTGTTGCCGTTACAAACTTAATCGCTGTTAACGTCGCTGCTGCTGTTGCTGACTTCTTCAATCTACTATTGCTATTTTTATGACAGCTGTTAATTTATTCTGTTTGTTTTCATTATAACAAGTTGTTGTTATTGTTGCTCTTACTCGTGTTTGCCGTTGTTATTGTTGTCATGCTAACTACTAGCAACAAAGTAGTGTAATTTTTAATTCTATTAAAATCGCCCTCAACTTAATTGTTAGATTTATGCCTTCTTGCTACGACCAACACATCAATCTGTGTCACCACTACTTCTATTACTTATTCTTCACTTCATTATCAATCTAATTTGTAAGTATTATAGTTTTTTTTGTTATTTATTTTCTTCATATCATTTAGTTTTAATTTTTAATCAATTACTAAGTAACAACACTCACATCTAGACAAATAGTAGTTGTTAGTATTTGTTGTTGCAGTTTTATATTTCTCTGTCTAAAAAGAAATACTCAAATGGCCGGTAATCATATGGAAAATTGTGTGTTTAATACCCTACATCACTAGATCGGGGTGGGTAATATAAGACTTTTTTGATGAAAGACTTGTGTTACATATAGATCGGCGAGTATTTGGAATAACCAATAATGAAATACACGTCCAGAGTTCTAGTTTAAACCCCTTACAATCATCAATGAATATAAACTAGACTCTAGACTAGATTATAAACTAGACTATAGACCAGACTATAGACTAGACTATAGACTAGACTATACACTAGACTATAACTAGACTAGACTAGACTATAGACTAGACTATAGACTAGACTATAGACTAGACTATAGACTAGACTATAGACTAGACTATAGACTAGACTATAGACTAGACTATAGACTAGACTATAGACTAGACTATAGACTAGACTATAGACTAGACTATAGACTAGACTATAGACTAGACTATAGACTAGACTATAGACTAGACTATAGACTAGACTATAGACTAGACTATAGACTAGACTATAGACTAGTCTATAGACTAGACTATAGACTAGTCTATAGACTAGACTATAGACTAGACTATAGACTAGACTATAGACTAGACTATAGACTAGACTATAGTCTAGTCTATAGACTAGACTATAGACTAGACTAGACTATAGACTATACTATAGACTATATACTATAGACTAGACTATAGACTAGACTATAGACTAGACTATAGACTAGACTATAGACTAGACTATAGACTAGACTATAGACTAGACTATAGACTAGACTATAGACTAGACTATAGACTATACTAGACTAGACTATAGACTAGACTATAGACTATAGACTAGACTATAGACTAGACTATAGACTAGACTATAGACTAGACTATAGACTAGACTATAGACTAGACTATAGACTAGACTATAGACTAGACTATAGACTAGACTATAGACTAGACTATAGACTAGACTAGGACTATACTATAGACTAGACTATAGACTAGACTATAGACTAGACTATAGACTAGACTATAGACTAGACTATAGACTAGACTATAGACTAGACTATAGACTAGACTATAGACTAGACTATAGACTAGACTATAGACTAGACTATAGACTAGACTATAGACTAGACTATAGACTAGACTATAGACTAGACTATAGACTAGACTTATAGACTAGACTATAGACTAGACTATAGACTAGACTATAGACTAGACTATAGACTAGACTATAGACTAGACTATAGACTAGACTATAGACTAGACTATAGACTAGACTATAGACTAGACTATAGACTAGACTATAGACTAGACTATAGACTAGACTATAGACTAGACTATAGACTAGACTATAGACTAGACTATAGACTAGACTATAGACTAGACTATACTAGACTAGACTAGACTATAGACTAGACTATAGACTAGACTATAGACTAGACTATAGACTAGACTATAGACTAGACTATAGACTAGACTATAGACTAGACTATAGACTAGACTATAGACTAGACTATAGACTAGACTATAGACTAGACTATAGACTAGACTATAGACTAGACTATAGACTAGACTATAGACTAGACTATAGACTAGACTATAGACTAGACTATAGACTAGACTATAGACTAGACTATAGACTAGACTATAGACTAGACTATAGACTAGACTATAGACTAGACTATAGACTAGACTATAGACTAGACTATAGACTAGACTATAGACTAGACTATAGACTAGACTATAGACTAGACTATAGACTAGACTATAGACTAGACTATAGACTAGACTATAGACTAGACTATAGACTAGACTATAGACTAGACTATAGACTAGACTATAGACTAGACTATAGACAAGACTATAGACAAGACTATAGACTAGACTATAGACTAGACTATAGACAAGACTATAGACTAGACTATAGACTAGACTATAGACTAGACTATAGACTAGACTATAGACTAGACTATAGACTAGACTATAGACTAGACTATAGACTAGACTATAGACTAGACTATAGACTAGACTATAGACTAGACTATAGACTAGACTATAGACTAGACTATAGACTAGACTATAGACTAGACTATAGACTAGACTATAGACTAGACTATAGACTAGACTATAGACTAGACTATAGACTAGACTATAGACTAGACTATAGACTAGACTATAGACTAGACTATAGACTAGACTATAGACTAGACTATAGACTAGACTATAGACTAGACTACAGACTAGACTATAGACTAGACTATAGACTAGACTATAGACTAGACTAGACTAGACTATAGACTAGACTATAGACTAGACTATAGACTAGACTATAGACTAGACTATAGACTAGACTATAGACTAGACTATAGACTAGACTATAGACTAGACTATAGACTAGACTATAGACTAGACTATAGACTAGACTATAGACTAGACTATAGACTAGACTATAGACTAGACTGTAGACTAGACTATAGACTAGACTATAGACTAGACTATAGACTAGACTATAGACTAGACTATAGACTAGACTATAGACTAGACTATAGACTAGACTATAGACTAGACTATAGACTAGACTATAGACTAGACTATATACTAGACTATAGACTAGACTATAGACTAGACTATAGACTAGACTATAGACTAGACTTATACTAGACTATAGACTAGACTATAGACTAGACTATAGACTAGACTAGACTATAGACTAGACTATAGACTAGACTATAGACTAGACTATAGACTAGACTATAGACTAGACTATAGACTAGACTATAGACTAGACTATAGACTAGACTATAGACTAGACTATAGACTAGACTATAGACTAGACTAATAATAAATAGCCATGATAGAGACCATCATGTCCCGTGAGTAATCCTCAGATTCTAAGATTGCTTTTATTAAGATGATATAACTTTTGAAGTTTTCCCTTTGATATAGTTATAAAGCGCTTTGTTTTTTAAGCTCTGATATGGCTCCCCAATGGCGAGCAAATTTCCCTTAGATCCATTTATCGCATAAGATTTTGACATACAAGATAAAGTTGTTCATATACTTTTCCAGAGCATTCGCAGTTCTGGTTTTAACCCCAAGGTGAACTATAGATATGTCTCACCAGCTGCTCTTGTGACTTGTTAAGAACACTCAGGTAACAGACAAGCTCAGTCTTCTCTGCAGTCCTTTAGGATTTTTGGTTTAGGATTGTTCGACAATTTTCAGCCTCCAGCAAGAACTTAATAGACTTAATTCGGCAATAGACCGAAGTATGATCAGAGTGAACTCCGAAACATGCGCAGATATATCCATCGCCATTCATCACATCATACAAACATGAAATACTACGCACACCCTTAATCAAAACTACATTCATTGAATGAATTATCAGCTCATTTCCAACATAGAGTCCCAATTGAATGCATAAGACACTCCTATGTCGGCAACAGCACCGCAAACTTATGCAGAAATATTATGATATATTAAATATGGCGGCCTTTGAGTCAAGTCTCTTAGGTCCGCAATCCGTAACGAATCCAACCTTGACCCTCCTAAATGAATTTACATGTCCATGGTCGTTATGAACTTCAACAATCTTGTTAATGTTGATATTAGATAATTCCGTTAGATTGTTAATGTAGGACTTATACGAGGAACTGTTGCCTGTAAGAGCCCTGAACATATTACCTTGATGATTGTGTGATTGCATTTCGGGGGAAAAGATGTGCTATTAGTACCTCTAGTCTGATGGGACTATAAACTGCTGGTATCAAAACTATCCTCCACCTTACCTTGGAATGAATTGACTTGTGATCTAAACAAAGAACCTATCTAATATGGTGCCATGAAAGTCGGCAGCCCGCAAGGCAGAGGTTCGGGCTTTGTCTGGGAGAGGTCCCTCGGAATGGATGTGGTGGCTGTAGTTTAGACCCAAAATGGCGGGTAGAAATGATAGCAAATACCTCTCAGATAAGTGATTGTGGTACCAAGCGTTGGGAATGGGTTAATATAAAATTTATAAGACATGGGTCCTCACTCCATCTGTACACCTAGAATGAATGTGTCGGATGTTTTTTTTTCAATAAATGTGTCGGATAAATGAGAATGGTGAGGGATTTAAGGTGTCTTATACAAGTGACACCATTGAATTTCTCTTCTTTGTCAGGGTATGTTTTGGGGTTACTATGATCATACCAGACTTACTCTGTTCTCTGTGAATAAGAACATGTCTTTGGCTCAATATATGGAATCATATTTTGGTCTACCACTTTCACACCAGTCTTACCACACTCTGTTCGCTGTGAATAAGAACATGTATTTGGCTCATTTGATGGAATCGTATTTCGGTCTACCGATTACGTCTTTAGGTAGCCCATCCCATTTGCGCAATTGTATACGGAAGAGATGTGTTTACATCTCGGTAGTTAAGAAACGGGGCTGCAATGATCAGAGTGCTTGTACACGAACCGCAGGAATCATGAACGAAAATTACCATCTGCGTGTTCTTTGCAAGGCACAAATCTCAATCTGTGGTTGTAAAAGTACCACCGTGGAATAGTTTGAAAGCCAGGTGTTCACGTAAAGTACTCGACTTCTGTCCGTAAGAGTGTGATAAGTAAGTTTTTACTATGGAACATCATAGCAATGAGCTAATGAATATATTATACACACGTTCACTTCAAATGTTCATTTTTAATAGAGAGATAGTAGCCTACATTCAATTCGACCTTACCCTGTGCTTCGTACAAATGTAAACACTTTTGCGGTTCCTCGTGTGAACGAAAACCACAAGTGTCATTATATTAAATAGCTGAATCATAATAACAACAGTGCAACAACACGTAAAACTGGCAAAAAAA